CAGCATGTATAGTCACGGAGGTATGCTGGTCTACGTAGGACTCTTCCCCGAGCGCTACATCTTTCTGGACTCGTTACGTCATCAGCTGGAGGGTTCGGTGTTGCTTGTGGCTTGACCACCTCTTGGGGTTTTGATTCAACGACTGGTGGTACCTGTTCAACTTTGGTCAGGGGCAGGGGACCATGATCGGAGCAAGGTATCTCTATGTCAAGAGGTGATTGTTTAGGGAGTTCGGCTGTGAGACACAGATGTAGATATTTTCAATCTTTTGTGTCTGGCCGAGCAGTATCAAAAACTTAGCTTGAAATTTAAAAACAGAAGGGAGGAAGACAAATCAGTGTGACTATTCCCTGAAATCTACGCACCCTTTTCGTTCATATGTCTTTTCTAAGCTTAAAGATTTCTGTTCGTTATTTGCAATCCTTTTTAAAGTGCACCTGACTCCTAAATTTTTTTTCACTTAAAAAAATCTTCCTGCTTTGGCTAGTATTTCGTCGAAAAAAATGTTGGATTTGGTTAAACCCTCATTTTTTTATGCCCTGTTGAAGTCGAGATCCGAATGGAAGACGACCGCGTAGATGGGGATCTGGGCAGAATAGACTTGTGACGTCACTTCGAGAAGACGCCAGGGAATTCTCAGCCAGTCGTCGACCTGCAAAAGCCTTTCTAGCACTAGATTCATTCTGCGGCATATTTGCGACAAATATCGATCTAACCTTCCTAATATAACCAGTGAACTGTGCAAAATGGCGCGAAATAGAGATTGTTGGGTTCTCGAAGTGACGTCACATTAGTCGCCAGACTCTTGATCCTTGAAACGCGGTCGTGAGTCAAAATGGAGGTGATTTTAATGCGATTCTCCGTACCTCAACGGGGCACAAAAATTCAAGGATCTGACCAAATCCAAACATTTTTTGCCCGAGATACTCACCAAAGCATGAAGATTTTTTTAAATGGAAAAAAAATTTAGGGTTAGATGCACTTTAACCTTCTACAGCCTAACATCAGTATGTATATTCTCCATTTTATTTTCTACACATTTCTAAACTGCTGACATGGAGAATTTGTATAACAATCGAGCGAGCTTTTTAGTTTTTGATTATTTCCTTTTTTCTCGTAACCTTACATTTGATTCAGGGATGATGTAGTAAGAAGTTAGATGCTAATCACTCCTAGGGGTCAATGGATTAACCAGTCTTCAGTTTGATGGGGAACGGTCCAAACTCTGACTCAAAAAACACCAAGAGATTTGAATTGCTTGATTCATTTCATTCTTTATTAATTTGCAAACACATGAACTCTACAAACATATATCAAAATAATAATTATTTAATTATAAAAGAAATATAAGTAAACAGGCATATTTTTTAATTTTGTAAAAATTTAAACTCTAAAAAAAAGTGATAAAATGTC